TCTACTATATGCTCACTCAGATTATTGTGCAGACGGTGTCCTCAGTCGGTAGGATAGGGGGCAGCATTGTCCAGCTCAGGTACTGTATTTCTGTTGTTTGTGGTTGGGTTTGGATATTATTTTTGGGGGTGTTACGTGTGTATTATGTATGAATTTTGGTGGAGTGTAAGGTATTGTTTGATTTTTTTTTTATGTTTGTGATGTCTTTTTGTTTTCGTGTGTCAGTCATGTATGAGAAGATGTCTCATTGAAAAAAAAAAAAAAAAAAAAAAAACAAGTGTCTACATTCCTTCTTTTATAATTTATTGATTGATTTATGACTCCGTCTTTCTTCATCTCTCTTTTTCTCTGTTTCTCTTCGCTTCTCTCTGTCTCTCTCTCTCTCTCTCTCTGATTTTTTTGCCCCTTCTCTCTCTCTTCTTTTTGCCCCTACTCTCTCTCTCTCTCTCTCTCTTCTCTCTTTCTCTCTCTCCTCTCTCTCTCTCTCCTCTCTCTCTCTCTCTCTCTCTCTCTCTCTCTCTCTCTCTCTCTTCTCTCTCTCTCTCTCTCTCTCTCTCTCTCTCCTCTTCTCTCTCTCTCTCTCTCTCTCTCTCTCTCTCTCTCCTCTCTCTCTCTCTCTCTCTCTCTCTCTCTCTCTCTCTCTCTCTCTCTCTCCTCCTCCTCTCTCCTCCTCCTCCTCCTCTCTTCTCTCTATATATGTCCTTCTCTCCCACCCTCTCTTTCTTGCTCCCCAAATCCCTAAACCTTACACCCTTCGTCTCATCACCCTGTGTCGCCCTGTCCTCAGAGCCGTGGCGGAGGAGGACAAAGGAATCGCCCTGGGCACCCTTACCGTGTTCATCAGTCTGTTCGCCTTCATTCCGGCTCCTATTATCATGGGCGCCATCATAGGTACGTGGCTGGGACGTCGTTAAGGGCGTGTCTGTCTGTTTAAGGATTTAGAGTAGTGTCATGGGCGCCATCATAGGTACGTGGCTGGGACGTGGGCGGCGGGAAGGGACGTTAAGGGCGTGTCTGTCTGTTTAAGGATTTAGAGTGGTGGTCAGATTCCAGGGTAATCTCTATTTTTTTCAAGAAGTCTTCTGTTAATCGAATTTATATTACCCTGTAGTAGGCTGGATCTGATTTCACGTTGACCCAGCACTCTCTCCTTTGGATAAAAGGATACGTTATTTTTGGATATAACTCGTAGCACGTGTGTAGAAGAAAACATTCACAATACTCGAAAAAAAATCATTTTTTATTACTATTTGTTTTCGTTTTATTTCTTGTTGCTCCTTTGCTCGTTTGTGTTAATGCGTGAAATAAGTATTGTTTTTTTTTTTTTTTTTGTAGGGGTTAAATTGAACCTAACCTAACCTTCAGAGAACCTCTAGTGGTATTTTGAAACCCAATCTTTTCCAATCTTCCGACAATCTGAATGAAATATGAAGTTACCTTGGCTCAGAGGCGCAGCGGATAAATTTTGAAACTGATGCACCAACGAGAAATAACGGTAATGAGTGACTGTGCGTGATCAACTGCACATTGCAAAGGCCCGGTACCAAAATCTTTGGGTTTGTGAGTAGTTAAAGGGTGTTTTGGGTTGGGGTTTAGCACGTGCAATGCGAGTGCTAGGGTTAACGATGCAATTACTGATTCTATCTAACCTGAAAAACATTATTAAAAAAAAAAAAAAAAAAAAAAAAAAAAAAAAAAAAAAAAAAAAAAAACTGACGACGATTGATTTACAAAGACTTTTCATGTCGCTTCTCACTTATCCATATTAGGTATCTGAATATCGTGTCCAGTTATTCAGCTATAATGATATTTATATTTGTTCGTTTGTGTCTTCTTTATCTTCGTCTTTTAACGGGTTTTATGATTATCGTTTTCCGCAGATTCGGCTTGTCTTGTGTGGGATACCTCCTGCGGCAGGACCGGGAACTGTTGGCTCTACGACTCCGACAAATTCAGGAAAATCCTTCACTTGGTTCCTGCAGGTGAGTGTTACGCTTTTTATTTCTTCTTCCCTATTCCTCCATTTCCTCCTTCCCTCCCTCCCTCTCTCCTAACCTCCTTCTCCTTCCCTTCCTTTTTCCCTCTAACCCCTCTTCGTCCCTCCCTACTTCCCTCCTAACCTCCCTCGCCCTCTCCCTCTCCTTCTCCTTCACCCTATCCTTCCCTCCCTCCTTCTCCCTCTCCGTTTGTTCATTCAAATCCCCCTTTCCCTTTCAAGTGCTGATGTTCATATCCTTGTTCGGAGACTTCGTCATGTTCTGGTACAGCGACCGACTCGACCTCTACGGGTTGAAGGCCGAGCAGGAGCTGGAATTGAAGAAGGTCGAGGGCGAGCCGGAGGAGAAGAAACCACTGAAGACAGAGGACGAGGCAAAGGAGAAGAAAGTCGGGTTATTGGCTTAGGCTTCGGACTCCTGTTGAGTGTTTGTGGAGATCGCGACAAGTTGAAACTTACAAGACTTGCAGGATATTTGTTTATAGAATAAAAATGTGTTTTTTCCTTAAGCTTCTTTTTTGCGAGTTGATCCTTATGATATTATTTTCTCTAAATTTGATTATAGCTTTTGTTATTTTAACTTTATGGCATAATTCTTACTGAGAAGCCAATATGGTATTACTTTATCCTACAGTGAAGCAGCACCTTGCCCGTTGAACTCAAGCGACATGTCCGTGAATTTTCATAAACATTCGCTTATTACAATTAATACAATGCTTCCAGGAGAAAAAAAAACTTACATTTTAGAAACATGGACATGCTTAGTTAATTTGAGTATGTGCACGTAATAGTAAATGCTCTTTTGTGGGTATCGAACGTATTACTGAATGATGGATTGTGTGTGAACGTAATAGTGAATGCTCGTTTGTATGTGTACATATTAGTGAATGCTCTTTCGTGTGTCAGAGCGTATTAGTAAGTGTTCGTTTATGAGTGTGAACGTGCCTGCCTTTACTATATGTATTCGACTGTGGCTTGACAGTCACCACCGTCTCAGGGGAGCGTGAGTGGGCGGGTGCCTGTAACGAGGCGAAGCAGGTACATATTCCAGAACAGCGGACATGGAACACTTCCACACTGATAAGTCTTGTGAGGCGCATCCCATTTTCGACAGATATATAATTGTAAACACATGTATACTTTTATCTTGTCTATCATTTTATCTATTTGTCAATATACCCATCTACCTACCTACATATCTATCTATATTTATCCCCCTATCTATCTATCTATCTATCTATCAATCTATCTGTCTATCAACCTATCTATATATATATCTATCTATCTATCTATCTATATATGCATGTATGTATATGTATCAACCTCTCTCTCTCTCTCTCTCCTCTCTCTCTTCTCTCTCTCTCTCTCTCTCTCTCTCTCTCTCTCTCTCTCTCTCTCTCTCTCTCTCTCTCTCTCTCTCTCTCTCTCTCTCTCTCTCTCTCTCTACATATATATATACTCTCTAGAATATATATATATATATATATAATATATATATATATATATATATATATAATATAATATATATAATATATATATATATATGTATATATAATATATATATATATATATATAAATATATATATATATATATATATATATTATATATATATATATATAATATATATATATATATATATATATATATATATATATATATGTATCTATGTATGTGCATATATATCTATATTCATATATATCTATATCTCTCTCTTTCCTTTTCCTCTCCTTATCTCACTCCCTTTCCATTCCCATTCCTTTTTCCTTACCCTCTCCCATTTATTCTATGCCTTCTCCCTCTTCCTCACTCTCACCCTCACCCTCTCGTTCTCCCTCTCCCTTTTCTTCGTCTCACTCCTTCCCATATACTTTCCCTTTCCTTTTTCCATCTCTCTCTCTCTCTCCCACTTCTCCCTCATCCTCACCTTCTTTTCCTTCTCCTCCATCTGCCTCTGCCCCTAAAAAAGGAAGGAAGGTGGACGTCAAGGTGCTTGTGGGGATGATTATGGAAATAACATTATCTTGACATACCTTAAGACACAGCATTTAAGGAATAAACAGGAATGTTATGAGTTAGCAGTCTTATTGAAACGGATAATGGATCTGTATTTAAACAAATCATACTAAACTTCACCAGTCGTTTTACTTTTGAAGGTCTTTTCCCAGTGAGCTTAATGCTTAACAAGTATGCCTACTAGTTGCCAGTGACAGTGACTGACAATTAAGTTAAGGAAGTGACTAATCACACTTCTTTGGTATTTACAGATCATGTTTTGTATTTACTTAAATCCAGATCCATGGATACATGTTTTTTTTCCATTTCATATTCTAACATAATAAACATACAACTAAATTATTGTCCATCTGCTACAGGTTTCTATACTTTTCTTTACTTATGTTTTCAAATGCAAGATTAATATACAGAAGTATGCAGTATAATCTGTTTTATTGGAGTATGCAGTAATAGGCTGTAAACACAGCCCATTACTAGTAAAAACTAGTAAAATGTATACAATATATAACACTCCTCCAAAATAATTCCATTTACTATTAGTTTGAGTTTTTAGTGTAATACTTAGAAAACTATTATTTTGATCCATTTGAAAATTAAACAGAAGAAATCAATAATACATCAAATCACTTTGGAAGACACTTTTATTTTTAGCACATGGCAAAAAATTGTACAAGCTGATTTTCAAGTTACAATTACAAGCAAGACAACTATCAGATTTAGATAAATATTCATATTCAATATAACATTGAAAATACTTTGGTTTAAAAACTCAATGCATTGTATTTTCACCTATGAATGTCTGGTATGGAATGGATATTTCAAAAGTTTGTTTTTTGTCCCAATAAAAGCTACAATCTCTTTTTTCTTCGGTTTGGTGATACACTAAGTTACTCTTTATGTAGACCAAAACACAGATGACTAGTAGCTGACTGGTAGAGAGAGTCGCTGAACAGGCAATTCAATCTGCTGTACAAAAAGGTGTGCATACACAGTACAACAGGCATTTTGGTATACATGAACATTCTGGTTACACCATCCACTTTGGGATATTCTAAGCTACAAGAAATTACATTGCACATACATGATTTCTTGATGGCTAAATGCAAGAATAATTATATGTATATTGATATTACATACCCAAGTTTATGAATGTGTGTGTGTGTGTGTGTGTGTGTGTGTGTGTGTGTGTGTGTGTGTGTGTGTGTGTGTGTGTGTGTGTGTGTGTGTGTGTGTGTGTGTGTGTGTGTGTGTGTGTGTGTTTTCAATTGTATGTGCTTCTACACATACGTTATGTTGTTAAAAAAAAAAAAAAATTACAATAAGTATGCTATGGTGCTGACTAGATCTTATTATGTCTTACTTTATAATGATTTGTCATTTATAATAAAACTGTTCTTTAAATGATGTTTTGAAAGATTCTCTGTTACTGTTTGATATACAATTTTCAGTGAGTGATATGGCAAAGATGAAATCCTTTTTCTATCAGTCTTTATATACAGTGGAATCTCATGAATAAAACTCCCTTTATATACATGGAATAAAAATACTTCAAATAAGTGACTATATAAAGATGCACATAATCACATACATAATAATTTTTTCATTAATTACAATTATTTTTTCATTGATAAACTCCACATAATTAAGACACCACAGTGATAAAAAAATCATTCAGGAATGTCATAGCTTTATACAATGGAATTAGAGAATCAGAGGTACACTTAGAACCATGAGATATTTTTCACTCAGCTATTGTTTTTTTAATGTTAACATCATTATTTTTACAACTGCACATTAACATGGAAAAGGGAACTTGTTTTTTCATGCCAAGAATTCATAAACTTCTTTTAACACTAGTAAAAAAGTACATTTGATAACTTCACTTACCAGTACATACAACTGTGTAAATGAGTACGGGCAAGTTTGGAAGGCATGAAAAGAGTATTTGTTTCAACATTATTTGCTTACATAACTTATTGTGCTGAAAATGGACACCTCACCTACAAGCAAAAATAATTTTTCTACAAAATCACTTTCCTGGATTGATGATACTCCGTAAAAATAATTTTAAAGAATGCTTCTATATGGTCATATGTATATACATACGTACATACATACATATATACACAGATATATATATATATATATATATATATATATATATATATATATATATATATATATATATATATATATATATATTATATATATATATTATGTGTATATATTATATATATATATATATATATATATATATATATATATATATATATATATATATATATATATATATATATATATATATATATATATTCATACACATACATATTTTGTGCTTGCTAATGTACATTAAAAATGTGACAATGCTGCCTTTCAACATTAGCTAAATGATAATCACAATAACAATTAAAATGTTAAGGTTGAATATAACAAATTAAAACCCTTGCTGTTGATGAATTGTCAATCTGTTATCTTCCTTTCATATATGACATTTGAGGAAAACACAAAATTGTGTAACCTACATCAGACTTCCTGGTAAATAAGCTATAACTGACCTGTCTTGCTTCTGAAAAAATAATTTTATATTATGCAGATTATCAACGTAGGTAAGGGAAATTAGAAAATTTCCATTCAAGCTAAATAAATTATCATCTAAACATATGTATAATATATATATGATATATATACATAGATACAGATATACCATAGATGGAATAAAATTTATACTTTGGGCCATGTCTTTGTGCCTCCATCTGATGTTTTCGCAGGCAGAATGGATTCTTAAAAAATCTAAATTGAATTACATCACACAGCCAATTTTTCTTCTGAAATATAAGCACTACTGTACACTACATCCTAACCATACAAGCTAGCATTAGTTTATGTCCTTGCAGAACTTGAGCTTTACATATGTGCTTCAAAATCCATTCTACCATTATTAAGTTGAGCACATTACTTCAGTGCTTTACAATCAGTGGTCTGAAATAAAATAGGGGTGATGGCTATACCCCTTACCATAACATAAATAAATATTCTGTCATTTGTGAACAATAAATAATAAGGATAGAAATTAGTTTTTATTTCTGGCAGTTTCATATATAAAAAAAAGTTGTAAGCCAGATGGTAATGATAGTAAGTACTTTATCTAAAACAGATCAATCATAGAACACAAAGTTGTTTCCTTTCCTTAGGAGACATGAGGACAACATTCATCAGCCTCACATTTGTATAGTTAAAATTTATCATTAAAATTTCCTTGAATGAGACTGAAGGCAATTACTAACATTCACCTTAATGATCTCTGAATAAAATCTAATTTACAGCTAGTTTTAGGTAATCAACCAAAATTGATTCAAACTGTACAGGAAATCACCCTATTTCATCAAGCATCAAGCAAGCAAAATGCCCCATCCACCCTACAGGTAGTTATGGGCGACACTATCTAAACATCAAGTAATATCTAACATCAGCAATATAACCAATATACCCC